TTGCGGAAAAATTCATTTTCCGCACTTGTTAGGTAAATATAGGTTTTTTACGTTATATTTAGGATGACGTCACATTTAGTAAATTTCTGCTGCCAACCTGAAAAAACTGAAAGTACTTTTTAACGCATTTAAAGTAGGGGAATTTCAAAAGTTTTTGTTTGGTAATGGCGCGCGACGATGCACGATTTATATTTAAAAAAATATAAACTTTTTCATGTAATGCCTGTCGATTCATTTCATTATTTTTACTTGTCACTGGTTTTGTCAATTTATTATTAACTATTTTGTATACTTAATTTTAATTAAGTGCCAAGAATATACAGTTTAAAAAAGTTCTTCTAAGAACTCGGTACTTTTTCGTAACGCGTGAACTAGGTAACCTCAGAAAATGCCTAAAGGTTTGTCGAGTCAGTCGCAGGAGATGGTAGCAAACCTAATATCGTATTTCGAGCAGGAACGCGATAATGGAGGACCATTTTTGCCTCTTACTGCTGTGAGGGATGTAAGTAAATTACCTATTTTTATTATATAGGTACCTATTTATTTGAAAGTATAAATTAAAATATTTTTTTATGATTCTAATAAAATGATGTCTTTTTAGCGAGTTGTAGCTGCATTAAAATTAGGCCGTTGTACTGTCAATAGCATTGCAGCGAAATGCCGTAGAGGAGAACCACTAAAAAGTCCATCAAAAAAACGTAATCGCACAAAAACTGTTGTTAATATTGATGAGTTTGATCAAATTGCAATCCGAAATGTTATCTACGAAATGTATAAAAATAGTGAGTGACTAAATTGGCTCTGTGTCATTTGAGCGACAACCGTTTGCGCGAAGGACAAAAGCGTGATGGAACAAAAACGCGATAGGACAAAAGCACGATGGGCAAAAACGCGACTGAAATAAAAAGGCTGGATAACAGCGCGAGGGATAAAAATGCAAATGGAATTCAAGACATTATAAAACTTACTCATAAAAACCCGGTTAGTTTGTAATTTCAGTCAGACATTTCCAAACTTACTCATAATAACCCGGTTAGTTCGCAATTTTAGTCAGACATTTCCAAACTTACCGATAATAACTCGGTTAGTTTGGGTTGGCGCGACGGAACAGAAACGCGCCGATAATTATAGACACCGTCATGCTGTATTTCAGTCACGTTTTTGTTCCTCACGCTTTTGTCCAGTCGCGTTTTTGTTCCATCGCGCTTTTATCCCTCGCGCTTTTCGTATCGCGCTTTTCTCCCTCGCGCAAATGGCACAGAGCTAATTGAATTATATTTTGTTGGTGTTCAAATAAATCTTTATTAACATTATTTCAGAGAGACATATTACTTTGAAAACCTTACGAAATAAACTAATTGAACGTGATATTGCTTGTGGCTGCTTGACATCATTATGGAAAATTGTGAAAAATATTGGCTTCAACTATAGCAAAGATGATCCACGACGTGGGCTAATGGAATTGCCAAGTATTGCTCTAAAACGAGTTAACTTTTTGAGAGAATATGTTCGACTCAAAAATGGAGGTTTGCGACAGTTTGTTTTTTTTTGATGAAACATGGATTTTCCAAGATGGCACTATTGGTCGTTCTTGGCAGGATTTAAGTACCAAAAGTGTAAAGAAGACTAAAATTGGTGGCAAAAGGTAAATTTTCATATAGGGTTTTCCATCGAACAATGCTGTTAATATAGTTACCTACGCAACTGCTTCCCTAAGTGAAAAATGCTATATTGATAATTTCTGCATATGTTTTTGTTTTAAATTTTATATCCTATATTCTTAGCTTTTGTTATGGCAAAAATTTTGACAATTAATTTGTTTTTAATTATTGTTTTAGATATGTTATTCTGCACTCTGGTTGCACTAAAGGATTTATACCTGGTGCAGAATTGATATTTTCTTCAAAAACGCGAGATGCTGACTATCATGGGGAAATGAATCAAGAAAATTTTCTACAGTGGTTTGAGTATCAGCTGCTGATAAATTTGGAAGAACCTTCAACTATAATAATGGATAATGCTAGTTACCATAGCACTTTGGTGAATAAGGCCCCTACAACAGCAACCAAGAAAGCTGATATTCAAATGTGGCTCAAAGAAAATAATATTCACTTTGACAGCACTTTTTTAAAACACCAATTATTGAATTTAGTCAAAACGTAGGGTGACGTAGGTTTGAAAAAAGTTTAAATAATTATTAAACATTTTGTTTTTTTTTGTAGAAATAAACCACAGCCAGTGTACAAAGCCGACGAGCTAGCTGAAAAATATGGTCATCACGTTCTTCGTTTGCCTCCATACCATTGTATTTTCAACCCTATCGAACATATTTGGGGTTTCACCAAGAACTATTATAGGGAGAATTTGGTAGTTCAGCAGAAAAATCACTAGAAACGTGGAAAGAAGCTCTGAAACAAGCAACTCCTGAAGTATGGGCAAAAACTGTTGAACATACAGAAAAAGAAATACAACGTTGGTGGGATAGAGAGGTTTTATTTGATCGAGGAGATATTCCACCACTTATAATTGATTTTAATGGCAATGATAGTTCTGATGATAGCGATAGTGACCAGTGACCAGTAAAACATACACTGAAAAAACAGAGGGTCTTGGCCCAAAGTCCCCAACGCTCTTGAGCTAGTTTTTAACGTCATTTACTGTAGACAAGCAGACAAAAAGGTTTATTACCCTTTCAGCAAAAACAGCTCCTAAACATAAGCAGACTAGACATCAGATTGGTGGTAGGACTGCTCAGAGGACACTGCTTGGTAAAATACCATTTAAGGTTAATGGACAGAGCAGAAGACAATCTCTGCAGATTCTGCTCAGACGCAATAGAGACCGCACAGCACGAATGTCCAGCCCAATTCTGCAAGAGTCTCAAATTCCTCGAGGGGGAAACACTGTCATCAGAAGAAGTGGACCAGCTGACACCCAGGAAAATAGCTTCGTTCGGCAGAAGTCTACGCTTCCTGAAGACAACTTAAGATGTAGAGTCACATACAAAATATCTGCAAAGGTAGCAGTGCTGAGCGGCTGAATAGCCGAAATGACTCCCCCGCACAATCTTCAAATCTAGAAATCTACAATCTACTGTAGACAAGAGAAAATATTTTGCTTCAAGTGAATGTTATTTGAATTAAGATCATTTATATTGGGACTTTCTTAAAGTAAAAACGATTCTTGGATGTATTTCACAGCAGACAAAATCGAAAGCTCTTGTTTCAAAATTGCGGGAATTAAGCATTTCATTCAAGAGATAAAAGTTTTGAATTTATTTCCAAAGCTTTTGATTCAAAATCCTTGACGCTATTGGGAAAATACCGCGTCATTTGGAAGATCTTCTCACAAGAACGGTAGCAGATGCACGATCTGTCTTTTAGCACCAGAGAAAACGTTCAGATTTCCAGTCTTTCGCTCTTGGCGCGAGATCAACAATCTCACTACCAGTCAGAACTCGGACAATTTGGTACGCTATCGTGATAGCGGCTTTTGTACGGGTCGAAATGAAACCATGGTACCATTCTTGAATTGGTTCTACCCTATTTAATACTTTTCTATTTATGTAATAGCTAATAAATTCGTTTTTTAATATCATTTTTATTTTATATTTTTCGTTTCATGGTATCTTATCTGAATATTGAAAAAATGGCTGAGGATGGCTAAGCTACAGGCCAAAAATTAGTAAACTACACTCTTGAAACAACAACCATTTCATTTGAGCCAAGTCCGAAAGCTCTTGGCACAAGATATTCAATGCTATTGAACCAAGAGAAAGGGCTATTTCCATAAGAAAAACTTCGCGATTTTTTTCAAGAGAATTAGGAATTTGGTTCAAAAGACTTCGCATTTGACCTATTCAAATCCGAAAATCTTTTGGCTGAATGTCAATCTCTTGGTTCAGAGGATTTCTTTTTTTCAGTGTACAAACAAATATCTGCTGACAGCAGTGACAGCACTTCCATTTTCCGTTTGTTCCACAGAATTTATTCTTTAATTTTAAGAAATAAAAGCGGCATTGACAACATTGTCTCTGCTGGTTCCATGTCGTCATCCTAAATATAACGTAAAAAACCTATAGCTATTACTAAGTACCCATTTTTTTAAAATTAATTTGGAAACATATTTTGGAATTGAATCTACTCAGATATTTTACACATTCTGGCAACTCGACTTTCTGTTTTATAACCCTGAAATTTAAAAAATACTTTGTCAATGAATGTCATTATTATACGAGGGTCAACCTGTCAAATTTCCATGGATAATGCTACACCAATAATATCTGAAAAGCATATAGTTTAATACTTAAACTCATAAATGGCAGCCGGACTTTTATATTGCCTAACCTAACCAAGCAACCTGAGTCGATCACGCATAACCTTCAAACTGTTATCAAACCAGGAACCAGGTTCATTGGTTTTAACCCTAGATCATTTTTAACTATAAAGGACTTAAATGGAAAGAAATTCAAATAATATTTCTCTAGTATTCCCATCAATTTTGCAAATTTGGTTGATATATCCAATGTAAATATCTTCATCAGCAAGCTTCAACTCTATTATTAAAATTTAACGTACCTACCAGTTTGAGTGAGCGGTTTGAATTGTCTAAGTTCATGCATAAGATTGTGATTTAAATTCAATTCAAATGTTAATAGCTGAGTTTTGTGGTCCGAAAGTTCAAATTCAACTGACTGAGCGTTTAAAACATTAAGAATGAAATTTATGGAAATTTCTTAGGTTATTCACTCAAATTTTCTTTCAATTTTTCTCAAATACTATCATAATAGTGGGTCACTTTAACTCACTTTCAAAACTTATCGTTTTGATTTACATTTTTCATTTATTCATAGCTTCCTATAACCTTGACAATCCCTTTTTACCTCATCATAGTTATATCATGTCAGATGTCAGATTAATAATCTCAATTTCTATAGGATCTTCACCAAAAAAGTTGACAAACACTAACTATTCTTGCCCCAAAACAAACATAATTCTTACCTGGTGCATAATAATCGTAAACTCTGGCCGCCAAGTACCGAGACATGTTTGCCACAGGATGCCATCGCTCGACAGTGAAGTTAACACAAGTGTCTTCTGTATCCAACTAAAATAAATTAAACAAATAATAAAAATTGCACAAAAAAAAAAAAAAAAACATCAACAACTCACATAATCAAAATAGAAAATCACTTTTCTTTCCTGAAACCGGGCCCTCTGCAAATTTCTAACTCTTCTAGAAATTATGTAGGCATCCAAATCCTGTTGCTGCACAATATATCCTGTAGGAATTGTAACGTCTAGGATGGCTAAGCCGGATCTTTGAGATTCGTTGGTGTGGATCCACCTTTGACAACTAACGTAAGTGATATGAGACTGATTTCTACCATAGTAATATTGTTTGGTAACCAACTCGAAAGCTCTAACAGGCGGCGGTGTTTGGTATTTTTCTATGTCGACATTGTATTGGACGTGCATTTGAAGAATGGCATATCCTGTACCTCTGGCGTCAACTTTTACAGTACCTAATTGAATAAATAAATTATGATGTTTCTAGTGAAATATTAAAGAGTCTTACCCCAAGCATTGGGTATTTCAATGTGTTGCAATTTAGCTCTATTTTTGTCATTTACATAAAGCACTTGACTTTTTCCTGGTAAAGATGTCGCTTCGACCGTCACCGAGAGGCTTGAAATATCTCTGATTCTTTGAGCGGAAGTGTACTTGATTAGAGCCTTCATCGCGTTAGCTGTATCGGAAGTTGAAGCCCAACCACCATCGGAGAGGCGTTGAGTATTGAGCCATCTATCAAATATTAATAAATTGATTACCTATTCAACCAGAAATAGAGACAATTTTTATATTACAAAAAAACATTTTTCTGAACTAATACCTTTTGATGTGCTACTCACCAAAATATCATTTAAAGTAAATTTCACAGATTGCTCTCAATAGAAGAATGACACAAATGAGAATTGAAATAATTGCTTGTTTTTGTATTATACTTATCAAGTAATTTTTAGGGCTATATCAGTCAAAGTATAAATAATATTATTCTTGATTCTTACCTGACAATGTTATCGACATACAACTCCTGTCTCTCAACATACACCATCAAAGCGTAGGCTGTAGCTTCAATGTTTTCGCTGTCATATTCATAAGGTAATCTGGGCAATAAGAATGGTTTCTGATTTTCCACTTTGAACGGCGGCTGAGGTATACTTTTCCGGGCGAAGTAGACTAGACCTCCTTCCAGAACAGCCCTAAAAAAAAATTCACATTAGAACTTTGAGAAGAATATTTTTCAACAAAGTGGAATGACTTTTTGCAACTACATTTTACAAGTAACTTCTAAAAACGAATAACAATCTAGAACCCTCAAAAATTCTGTGGAAAAAAAGTGTAATAATATTGTACTTGTGGTGTCATCTGGCGTGAGCACCAGAACTTTGATATTAAACTGTTAAACTTAATGAATATGTAGATTCCTATCAAGGTTTTATACTGGCGCTCAAATGAGAACGTGTGTTTTCTTTTCCTAAAATCTAATAGGTTATGGGCCCAGTGTGAAAACGTTTGTTTTTTGTAAAGAAAATAAGTTCGTTCTTTTGAGACTATAAAGCTGTGAAAATATCGGCAAATTTCCTGGGTAGTGTGCCAAGATTGCGAGGCAGGGAAAACTACGAGGAATGGTCACTATTTGGTGATAGAGGGTTTAAAAGCCTGTATAGATGGCAGTGAAACCAACACCGAAAAAATTGCTAAAGCAAGGTCATTTTGACTCTAGAATCCAGTTTATTTGTACATATTAAGGAAACCACTGATGCAAAGGGTGTGTGGGACAAATTGAAAAATTTGTATGATGATACCGGATTTAGCAGGAAAATTAGCCTACTGCGGTCTCTGATATCAATTAGAAGAGATAATTGTGATTCCATGGGAGAGTATGTGAACAGTATGGTGGATACAGCCCTGAGATTGAAAAATACAGGTTTTTCAATTGACGATAAGTGGGTTGGAAGCTTATTGCTAGCACGATTGCCAGAAAAGTACGAACCCATGTTGATGGCTATCGAACACTCCGGCATTGACATCACGACAGATAAAATTAAAACTAAACAACTGGACATGGAAGTGGAAGGAAAAACAAGTGGAGCTTTTGCGGCTAAGACTAAGCCAGCTTTCACCAAGAAGAAAAAAGAAGTTACTTGTTACTGATGCAAGGTTAAAGACCATTATGCATATCAGTGTCCCGAAAAAGACCAAAATAAAAAAGACACTGAGAAAAATGTGTTTAGTGCTGTTTTTTGGAGTGGTCAGTTTAGTAGCCAGGATTGGTACGTGGATTCAGGAGCAAGTGCACACCTAACCCCAAATAAAGCATGGTTGTCAGATGTCAGAAGTAAACCAGCAGAAATGCAGGACATTGTTGTTGCAAATAAAAAAGCACAGTTACAGTAGAATGTGTGGGAAATGTTGAGTTGCAAACTAAAGTGGGAAACAAGAGTTTTAAGGTCACAGTCCAGGACGTTCTGTGTGTGCCACAACTAACAACAAATTTGCTCTCGGTAAGCCAACTCATCGAGCATGAAAACAAAGTGCAATTTGATGATATGGGTTGCAAAATCAACAATAAACAGCATGAATTGATTGGTGAGGCAAACCTTATAAACAATGTTTACAAATTGAAAACAGGCATTTGGCAACAATGTTGGTTGGCAGAGACATCAAAGGTAACCGGAGAAACATGGCATCGTAGACTAGGTCATCTAAACAGTGCAGATTTAACAAAAATGCGAAATGGTGCTGTGCAGGGAATAAATTTTCAAGGAGAAATAAATATTGATAAATACAGCTGCATTACTTGCAACGAAGGAAAACAAACAAGAAAAAGTTTTCCAAAAAAGGGCTCCAATGCTGAAAATTTATTGGACCTTGTGCACGTTGATATCTGCGGGCCCATGGAGGTGAAATCTATAGGAGGGGCAAAGTATTTTTTAGTACTTGAAGATTTGTTTATTTTTGTAAAACAAAAAATGAAACAATAAATTTGTTCTTAGAATTTAAGAACATGGTGGAGAACCAAGTTAACCGAAAGATAAAAATAGTTCGATCCGACAATGGTGGAGAGTTTTGTGGATCAGATATTGAAAATATGCTCAAAAAGTTTGGAATAATTCACCAAAGAACAAACAGTTATACGCCTGAGCAAAATGGCAACGCTGAGCGTATGAATAGAACGTTGGTAGAAAAAGCGAGATGCTTACTATATGATGCCAACTTAGACAAGAAATTTTGGGCAGAAGCAGTCAATACTGCTGTCTACTTGCGAAATAGGAGCATTGCTTCAGGTCTAAACAATAAAACACCTCTTGAAGTATGGTCGGGAAAAAAGCCAGATGTGAGTCATCTCAGGATTTTTGGCAGCACTGCGATGGTTCTTGTGCCAAACAAAACAAAAAAGACAAAAATGGGACAAAAAGTCCAAAAAGATTATCTTGGTAGGATTCAGCGATAACACTAAAGGCTACAGGCTTTATGACCCAATAAAAAATGATGTTATAATCAGTCGTGATGTGAATATAATTGAAGAAAATAAGAAAGAGGAGGTTGTGATATATTTGGACAAAGAAAACTCAGCTTCAGTGGGGGATGGATCAGAAATAGAGAGTGAGCAAGAGAGTGAGTCTGAAGATATTTCTGATTCGGCTGAAAGTGAAGGCAATGACACCAGTGATGAGGAATTCACTGTTGAACAAGTAAATGACAACACTAAAAGAAAGTCAAGTAGAGTTCCGAAACCCAAAGAGTTCAATGATTATGTTACATATTCCTGCATGATGGATCTTGATGACCCAAAATCTGTCAAAGAGGCGCTTTCTGGAGCAGATGCAGAAAAATGGCAAGCAGCAATGAAAGATGAACTTGACTCTTTTGAAGAGAATTCAGCATGGGACTTGGTTGAACTTTCTGACGGTGCAAAGTTGGTCGATAACAAGTGGATATTCAAGAAAAAAGTGAACAGTGAGGGGGAAGTCACCTATCGTGCGCGTCTTGTTGCTCGTGGATTTACGCAAGAGCATGGTGTCGATTATGAAGAAACTTTTTCTCCAGTGGTGCGGCATTCGACGTTGAGACTTTTGATTGCTTTGTCAATTAAGATGGACTTAGAAATCACGCACTTGGATGTAAAGACAGCCTTCCTGAATGGTTATCTGAAGGAACAGGTAGGTATACATGAAACTTCCAGAAGGGTATCTACACTCTTATTCAAATAAAAAACTTGTTTTGAAACTCAATCGTGCAGTTTATGGGCTTAAACAGGCATCTCGAGCCTGGAACGATAGAGTAAACAGTGTTTAGTAGATTTGGGTTACCTTGTTTATTTATTAAGAAAAATTTTGATAAATCTTTGACCATTGTAGCTCTTTATGTGGACGATTTTTTTGTTTTTTCAAGTTCTAAAAGTGAAACTGAATTTTTGAAAAAAGAACTCAAATCAAAATTTAAAATCAAGGACTTGGGTAGGGCCAAACAGATTTTAGGAATGGAAATTCTCATTGACAAGGAAGGTCAGTCTATTTCTTTGAGTCAGGAAAAATACATTGATCAGTAGTTATTAATTAAATTCAATATGACTGAATGTAAAACTGTAAAAACGCCATTGGAAATGAAGTTGAATCTAGAAAAAACGGAGAAAAATGAGACTGATATTCCTTATCAACAATTAATTGGTTCGTTGATGTACTTGGCAGTTCTAACAAGACCAGATATTGCTTTTGGCGTCAGTTTTTTGAGTCAATATAACAATTGTCATAATGAAACCCACTGGAAATACGCCAAAAGAATTCTAAGGTACTTGAAGGGTACAAAGGGTTATTGTTTGAGGTTTGCTAATGAGAATACAGAACTGGTTGGATTTGTGGATGCTGACTGGGCAAATAATTCACCAGATCGAAGGTCATATATAGGTTATGCTTTTAAAATGTGTGGTTCTGTAATCTCGTTTGCAAGTGTCAAGCAGAAGACTGTAGCATTGTCAAGCACGGAAGCGAAATATATGGCACTGGCAGAGGCAGCAAAAGAGGCCATATATTTGCGCAACCTTATTTTTGAATTAACGGAGAAGTTGGATTATATTACTCTATATAATGACAATCAGAGTGCATTGAATTTGTCGATGAATCCTGTTTATCACAAAACATATTGATGTAAGGCATCACTTTGTCCGGGAAGCTATTACTAATGGTTTGATTAAAGTTGACTATATACCGACAAATGAAATGCCCGCTGATATTCTTACTAAAAGTTTATGCAGTGAAAAACATTATACTTTCTTAAAGTGTATGGGTATTTTTTAAAGTTGTTGAGTGGGGGTGTTGAAAATCATCAATCTTTATAAAAATAATAATATTGTACTTGTGGTGTCATCTGGCGTGAGCACCAGAACTTTGATATTAAACTGTTAAACTTAATGAATATGTAGATTCCTATCAAGGGTGCATTCAACGGATGTACTTTTGTCAAAACTTGTATTTACTGTCATTGTGTCATTTTGAATTATTATTGACAAATAAAAAGTTAGTTTTATACTGGCGCTCAAATGAGAACGTGTGTTTTCTTTTCCTAAAATCTAATAAAATCATCATCTGAAAATTGGTTAAAAATTCTACTCACTTTCTCGATAGAGCTAAAAATGCCCTTTCCGCATTGGCTGCTTTAATTTTCATAAGCGCGTATGCCACAATGGCTGTGTCGAAAGCTTGTCCTTTATCCTCAACCAGATCCATATTCTTTTCAAGCCAGAAAATTGCTTTTTTTGCAGCTATGGCCACTCTAGAGCTTAGACCACCTAAAAGTTATACGAAGAATTGTGAAAAATCTTTCGAAGAAAAACTGCAATATAGATAAAATAATAACAAACATATTACGAAAAGATTTTGAAATAATAGGAAATAAATTCTTTTCTTAGTCTCCCGAATTGACAGTAAATTGAAGAGCTATATCAATGGCATAACAAATACAGTGTATATAAATGGTCCACAAACTATGTGTTTAGTGTTGAAAACCAACCTAAAACAATATTGTGAGAAAATATAACATGTATTCAGCTTTTTGCTAATGTGACTTTCCTAGATTTGTTATGTTATAACATAAAGACTTACTCCAATTTACACAAACATATTTTGTATTTAATTTCTATACAATAAGTTACAAATACATTTTAAACTTACTTGTTAAATCCTTAACACTCTCCAAAGTAATAAGTACATGCGCAGTCAAAGTAATATTCCTTTGAGCAATATTGTTGTGATCAAAGTTAAGTGAAGAATTATATTTCCTGTCGGGCATCCAAGTTGTTTCATAAAACGACCCTTCCTCGGTTTGATGTTTCAAAACCCACTCTACCGACTTAGCTATAACATCTGGATCGATATAAATGTAATTTTCCCATTCGTAAAAACTAGCTTCCTGTAAAATCCTTGCACAGTACGCAGTCAGCCAAACCGAAGACGCGGAATTGTTCCAGTCGCTTCTGAATGTGGAAAAACTGCCATCGGGTTGCATGAAACTCAACTGCCTCTGATAGCCGACGTTTAAATAATGGAAAGCTTGCTTTTGTAGAGTCTTGTTTTTTTGCTGAGTGTATCTCATGTATAGTAGGGTGTACATGTTAACTGCGAAGGAAAACATGTTTTGTTCGGCCGAATCCATTGGCAGATATAAGAGAGATGTGGCGTTTACAGGCATTGTGGGGAAAATTGGACCGACCACGTCGCCTACTATTGATATACTAGCCTTATTGGAACCATACACGTAGTATCTAGAAGAAAACATTAAAAAAAATTACAAGATATCACAATATGTATGTATTTGGAAGTATGTAACTTTAATACCTAACAAAACCTACTTGCTTGAAATCTTGAATAAAAATAAAAAGTTCTTTTAACTATTTAAAAATCAAGAAAACCATATAATCTTAAGAAACATTCTCAGGTGGTTTTTACATTTAGGACATTGTGTATGACCTCACAGAGAAACGTATTTTTTCTCAAGAGAAGGAACATGCTTAGATTTTTTGTCTATCCACCACACACAAGCAAATTCCCATTACCTACCTATCATATTCATAAGGAATAATCGGAGTTTCGGTGATATTCACGTGCATATACTGGAATGTATAAGCCCTATTACTTAAATCCAATAATACAGATTGATGCCTGTATTGTGGTAACCCATCAGCTTCGACACGTAGTTTCCTGGTTACTTCATCCTGGAAATCAAACACAAAATAAGATAACAATTTGAAAATAATCAATTAATTATTACCTTGCCAATAAGGGTAGCAGCATAAACAGTCACGTAAATATCGCCTAGACGAGTGGGCACAATGGGAACGTATACTTGAGCAGCATCTTGAGCTTTTATGAAAATAAAGAACTGAAACAAAAATGCTTGTTGGAAATATTTGTTCTTTAAGATGTTTTTTATAAACTTACCTGGTGTTCTCCAAAAGAAGTTCTAGGATTGTAGGCACTGACAAATCCATTGTCTTCTACGTGAACAAACTTGTAATCTGGAGATCCTTTCAGTATGACTGTGGCTTCCATATTGTCTTCCATGTAGTTGAAGACTGTGACTCTGATACCAACCTGTTCACCTGAAAGTAACAAGGAACATGTTACCTTAAATATTTAAATACTAGTATAATAATAAATATTACAGTGTTGCACATTTTTTTCCGAATCCTAAACCAAAGTCTATAATTTTCAGTTCGATAATTTAATGAGGAAAATAATTAACAGGGGTAGGTATGCATATTTAACAATCTCAAAGATTACACTTTTATAAAGACACATAAGGCATACATCAAGCAATTAATTATTGCAGAATAATCTATTTAGAAACTACGTGATTTTGTCAAGTTGCTGGGTGTGGTCAACATGGAGAAAACATGAGCCAGTACATTCAAATTTTGAATCAGTTTAGCAAAGATTGTAACTTCAGAAACGTAACTGTCAAAGAACATCGCGAACTTTCCATTAGAGATACATTCATTAGCGGCTTATTGCAGAAATTCGTCAACGCCTTTTGGAAAAAAATAATCTAACTTTAGACAAAGCTTTATCTCAAGCTCAAAAACATTCTGAAGTATACCAAACAGCTTCAACAAGTTTCATCAATTCTAGTAACGCCAAAAATACACTGTTTTGAGTGCTACTGTACTGGGAAATTTTCTACATGCTATTATTGTGGAAATAGAATAGGCATGATCGTGCAGTAAAAAAGATCATTTCTCCACTGTTTGTCGAACAAATCGTGGTACAACTGCATCTATTGTAGCATTTTCAATTTCTTGTTTGGTATGCTACTGCGTTTTGCTCTAGTAGATATGATTCTGTATAGAACTACAATGAAATAAATGAATAAACAACTATCTTTTCTGTGTTCAGATTTTGTTACCTTGAGTACTGCCTTCTACTGAAAGTTTTTTTGTGCAGGTTTGCAAGTTTTGTTAATTAATCTAGGAAGGTTTGATTCAGTACGGCAGGGCCCACTGGTATTGATTAGAATCTTAGGAAAAGGAGGTAGTACCATCATCATCTCTGTTTGCAAATTCAATCAAATAATCTGAGGTTATGATAATAATTGTTGTTTACATTTCCATCATGTCATTGAACAGCTGTTTTGTCTAGGCGTTTTCGTTAGACCTGTTGATATATGTTCTATAGGCACTTTTCAATATTCACCAGTCATTTTTACACAATCGATTCTCAGTTCGTACTTTTGGGGTGAAACTGAACACGCTTTTTTCTATAATTTTCTACAATGTCAAAATTAGAAGTTTGACAAAGGAGAGCCTTCTTCCGAAACTTAAATGAAGAATCGGCCCTTTTGATTTTGAGACTTGATACCGAAAGGTTCGTCTCGGCCCTATTTGATTTTGGGCGAGATTTTTTTTTTGGAATTTTGTGCCAGGGAACTCAAGGTTTAGACTAATATCTAGTTGATAATTGCCTAGAGTCGTCCCTTGGTCATTTTGGATTTTGTTTTGGTAAGTTTTTGAGATTTTCTTCAGGAATATTAACCTATCTACAACACGTGTTCCTTTTTTTAATAGGACTGTTCCGAGCAGCATTTGGAAGTTTAAGACTTCACATTTGGTCTAGAGTATCCCTCAATTTGAGGTAAGATTATTTCTGATATTTGGGGCTGGATTTGTTTTTTTATACGAACATCGTTATAGGGTCCTACTCTTAGCCCTAGTCCTAGTCTTAGGCTATAGTTGGACAGCTGCTAGGCTGTATTTGGAGAGATTCTAGACTGGATCTGGATTGCTTTCAGTTGGGGCTTTGGTAGCCATTCTTCAGCAAACCTCTTGGTACCACTTTGATTGAACCACATGGAGTCCTACATTGAACAGATATAACATGGATAGGACTCATGACTCACTTACAATACCTTAGTCTATCTATAGTGAGATCAAACCTGTAGATAATCTCACCTTGGAAACTTCTGGATTTTCACATACATTTCACTTGTATACATGTAAGTTGCACTTTTACTATTTAGGCAAATCTATATAATATAAATCACTTGATGCTGACTTGCATTCGGTAAGTGCCCCTTAAATAAAATTCTAGAATTTTACCCTGAGGTTGCCCAAAGAATAACTTTCACCTTTCTGGGTTGAATTTGCCTGTTGGTACAGTGTAACCCATATATTTATTATTTACACTCATTTTTTATAATCAAATATTTATAATTTGGTACAAGCCATAATGTATACACATTTTTAACAACGTCCTGGCTATCCCTATTCATTATTGAAATATTTTTAATAAAGAAGCCAGATACATGTTTGTACCTAATTAGTTGTTTTATAGTTAAGCTCTCCAATTGTACAGGTTTTGTTATAACATCAATAAGTAATCTTCCTGGTTAAGTCACAATTAACTAGGTGGCGCCCACATTAGTTTATTTCAGTGGATAGTACTCAGTACCTATGAACCCTAGCTCTCTACTAATAGCTTGCTGCCGTGCTTTGTCCTAATCTGTGCTTTGTTTGACATAATTGGCACAAACATTGAACAGTAGGGTACCCAAAATTATGTACCCTACTAACCCAAACTGTACGAGCTACTGAAATCACTTAAGCATAGTTTAATAGAGAATTTAATTTATTAGTTTGTCTATTTGCCCCAATATTATTCAAAATACAAGCAATTATTCATGAAAGTGTCAAGAATTTTAAAAAAATGAAGTGATTTTATTGAGAATTTTTTTTTCTTTTTCAGTGGTACACCCCTCTTTTGAGTTAAACATCAATATCTTTAAACTTCAATATCTTGATATCTCTACAAGATATAAAGATGAAATTTTCAAGATTTGTAGCCTTTATTAAATCTTCAAAACATTGGGTGGTATGAATAAAAACGAAGTACTTGCTACTACTACAAGTATTAGTATATTCTATGCAGTGGTATTTACTTCAAAAAGAAGCATTTACTAATTTTTGCTGGTTTCGAAATGTAGTATCTGTAGTAAAAGAACCTTTAGAATTAAGGCTTTAATAAGCTAAAATTCAATACAGTATTTTCTGACAATAACTGACAACATGACATACAACATACAGGTACATAAATATAGGGAACACAGTAAATAGTAAAGTAATGAAATATATAACATTCTTCCTCGCTCATTTTGTGACATAATCTTGAAGATATGAAGGTGGCCTATGATTTCTCTTTACCAAAACACAACTGGATTCATCAGTAGGTTTCACTGGAGGATTTTCATTGTGTGATTGTTCAGAATTTTGGGGAAGAGAGCAATTTGAATCATTCAAAGGGAACGAAGATGACAAACGTTCTGAACTGACTGATGTAAGGTTTTCTTCAGGAATAGTTAATTCATTCTTATCTTGTTCTGGTAGTGTTATGGTATTTTGATCTTGTTCTGACAGTGTCACATCTCCCCTTGGTGCTAAATGACGAGTTGATACAGTCATTTCTCTACCATTGGATAATCGTACATGAGCATAATCTGAATTTGCTTCCAGAAGATCCACTTCTTCTACTAGTGGATCAAATTTGCTATGTCTAACATGTTTCTTTAGAAAAACTGGGCCTGGGGTGCTCAACCAAGTAGGCATTGAGGTACCATTAGTCGATCTTCTAGGATGGTTGAACATGCGTTCATGAGGTGTTGAATTAGTCGCAGTACACAAAAGGGATCTTATTGAATGTAGAGAATCGATTAAAACATCTTGCCATTGTTTTACTTCAAGGTTTCTAGATTTAACCTTAAGTTGAATAGTTTTCCAAATTGTTCCATTAATTCTTTCACATTGTCCATTTCCCTCTGGATTGTACCCAGTTGTACGACTTGTGGCAACACCATGACTTGTTAAAAATGATTTCACATCAGCAGATAAAAAAGATGCTCCTCTATCGCTGTGAATATAACCTGGTGTGCCAAACATTGAGAATAGTTGAGTCAAACAGTTTATTACCGTTGCAGATGACATATCCGAACATGGAAATGCAAACGGAAATCTTGAATATTCATCTACAATGTCTAGTAAGTATTTGTTTCTATTATTGGAAGGTAACGGTCCTTTAAAATCAATGTTTAATCTTTCGAATGGTGCTATGGCTTTGATAAGAGTTCCTTTGTTTTTATGAAATCTCGGCTTTATCTCTGCACAAACCGGACATGCGGATATAACTCTTTTGATGTCTTCTAGTGAATAAGGTAAATTTTTGCATCTAATCCAATGATAGAATCTTGTGACACCAGGATGACACATCGCGTTGTGTAAATTATACAAAGTTTTGTCTGATGTTGATGGTTGAATAGCAGCAGATATCCTGGAAAGTGTGTCAGCTACAATGTTTTGATTTCCTGGCCTGTATATAATATCAAATTTGTAACATGATAATTCTATTTTCCAACGCAATATTTTCTCATTTTTGATTTTTGATGAACTCTTATTATCAAACATAAATGCAACGGATCTTTGATCAGTTACTATACTGAAATGTCGTCCCATTAAATAATGCCTCCATTTTCTTATAGCTTCGATTATTGCGTATGCTTCTTTTTCTATACTGGAATGATTTTGTTCTATTTTTGTTAAGGTTCTTGAGAAAAATGCGACAGGTTTACCATTTTGTGTCAGTTGAGCACCAATAGCAAAATCAGAAGCATCTGTTTCTACTGTAAATGGAACCTTTTCGTCGATGAATATTACAACTGCATCAATAATATCTTGTTTCAGCCTTTCAAATGCATGAATTTGTTCTCTGTTCATGGGAAAAGTTTTCACGTTTACAATGGGATGTATCTTTTCAGAAAATTTGTATATAAATTTTGAGTAGTGTGCAAACATACCTTGTACTCTTCTGAGAGAAGCAACATTTGTAGGGGCTGCTAAATTGATTAATGGCTGTAGTCTATCCGCATCTGGTTTTATGGTTTTTTTTTCTATTGTATATCCAAGAATATTGATAGTTGTCATTGAAAATTTGCATTTCTCATCGTTTAATGTTAGATTATACTTTCTTGTAATATTCATAAATTTCTCTAAGTTTTTGTCATGTTCTTCTTTTGTTTTTCCACATATTGTAACGTCATCCAAAAATGCATATGTATCAG